ACTGCCAATGTCATTGTGCGAGTTGCATAAGAGCTCTCATGTAAAATACTCAGTGCAATGCCTGGATACAGTAGATGCTCAGTAAAGGCTCTTATTCATACGACTATTTTGTTCTCATTGTTGTTAACTGGTGTCTGAGTGGTCCCAACTCACAGCGACCCCACACAACCCACGCACATGGAATGGAACACCGCCAGCTTCTGCACCACCCCGATTGCTGGTAGATTGGACCACCAGGATCCATACATTTTTTCGTGGCTGATTTTCAAAAGTAGGTTGTCAGGCCTTTCTTCCTAGTCTGCCTGAGTCTGGAAGCCCTGCTGGACCCTGTTCGGCATCCCAGCAGCATGCAAGCTTCGCGTGAGGTGCCTTGGCAGGGAATGGAGCCCGGGTCTCCCTCATGGGAGGCGAGAATTACAGCCCTGAGCCCCCACTGGCCCCATGATTGTGCTGCTTGAGCTCAGACTCTGCATGGGGCGCAGAGCTAAGGAGGTCTCAGAAGGCAAGCACCTTGTCTGGGCCACGTTGTGTCCCCGGCACCCCACACAGAGGCAGAGCAGCTGTGCACAGCCTGGCCACCTGCATCACCCCCATCTTGCTTAGATGCCCGGGTCGTTTCCGCACCCAAGAGCTTTGGAGCATTTCCAATGTGGCCTCGCACCAGGGGCTGGGGGAGGGCGATCAGCCGTTTCAGTGTGCTTCCCCCGGCCACACGGCTTCCAGTGCTGAAGTCAGGACAGTCCCAGGCAAACTGGGACGAATTGGTCCCATCTGGGCTGGGGAGAAAGAGCCCTGGTGGAGCAGCTGTTTAAGTGCTCAGCTGCCGACCAAAAGGTCAGCAGTTTGAACTTACCAGCCTCTCAGTGGGAGAAGGTTGTGGCTGGCAGTCTATTTCTACAAAGATGGCAGCTTTGGAAACCCTATGGGGCAGTTCTACTCTGTCCTTTAGGGTCACTATGAGTCAGAATTGATTCGACAGCAGTGGGTTTGGTTTGGATTTGGGCTGGAGAGACAGCCAGGACCGAATCCCACAGTCATCACCTTCAGGAATGTTTCCCTAATTACCCACCGGTAGTCATGTCTGCTCCTCTGGAGTGTAAGACCCTGCTGGGCAGAGACTGGCTTTTTTGTGGTCATTGCCATGTTTCCAAAACCTATCCTAGGTGCCCAAGCCTTGGCTGCATGAACAACGCATCAGTGGATGGATGCCAACACTCCTGGCTGAAGCTACCAGCAAACCGAGGCTCAGGGAGGTAAACCACTCAAGCAAGATTCCCCAGTGAGGATGTGGACGAGCCAGGGTTTAAACCCCAGCTGGTGACATGCCTCTGTCCCCAGGCCTCCCGTGTGCCTGGCTGCCCGGCCGCACCCCTCACCGTGTTGTAGAACTCAGCTACCAGCTCCGAGTACACGAAGTTGCTCTCACACCAGTCCACCTCGGAGCTCTGGTACGCAAAGATGCTGGGCATCCTGGCCACTGCCCGCCTCCCGCTGGCTGCATCTGGCAGACAGGAGCAGGTGAGCCTGGGAGCACTAGGCCCAGGAGTGGCAGGCGGGGAGAGGCCGGCTCGGTGCCCCGCGGCAGGCAAGAGGAAAAACCTGCTGGGCTGCTCGGAGGTTGCGGCAGGGCTGCCTGGCTGTGCGGTGGTGGGTGGCAGCCCTGGGCA